ACCCAAACTCTAAGGCCCGACACACGAACAGTCTCAGGAAGGTCTGTGAACAGGAACACAGAAGCAATCACACTGCATTTCCCAAAGTTGGAAATCTGGGGCACTGGATTTAGAAGAGATAGAGATGATCAGCTAGCCCAACCTCCCTGTTTTTTAAATAGGAGTCAGGGATCCCACAATGGAAAGGGGCTTCCACAAAGTCACACAGCAAGGTGGCTGCTCTCCCCAGCCTGCTGTTAAGGAAAAGGAATGATCAGCATCAATTTCAAGACTGGATCTCTGGACCTGTCACGTTGGCACCAAAAGATTATTTCACTTGCTCTTGGGCACAAGGCTGTTTTAAAATGCTGCACGCTCATGCTGAGTTGGGATGACCTCACCTTCCTTACGAACAAAATAGTTATGTTTCAACTGAGGTCACTCCAGAAGGAAATTGCTTGGCACTTAGGCAAGGCTAATTAGCAAATCTCCCTCCCACTTCTCTTTCTGCCTCAGGTGGCATCCAGCCTCTGGTGTTGTCAACCACAGTGTCCAGTCAGAAGCCAGCAGACTCCTTGCCCCACCTCATGACTCAGGGGCTCAGAAACTTCACGGGATTTATTCCACCACAACCAGGGTCTACAGCCTCCAGCAAAGAACTTAGTGATAACAAGGATCCACCAGAGGAATCCCTCTTCTTCCCCAGGCAGTGGTGACGCAGGGTGTGGAGAATGCATTGATCCCCAAGGGGGCCTCAAGGCTCACCCAGAAATAGCTGTCTTCCTGCTGGCACTTGCCCAGGTCTCCTCAACTGCCAAATGTCCAGGAAGCACAATTCACCTCCTCTAATTATACACCCACCACATGCCACGGTCCTGTGGTTCTCATGCCTATGGTAAAGACTCGTGTTACCACATCTTTGAGGCAAGGCTATTTGCACCTGAGAGATGGAGGTGGCCCCTTCTCAGGAGGTTACCTGTGTCTTCCCCTGGCCTTGAATAACAGACTAAGCTACCTCGGGAAACTCAGCTGGAACTCCAGGAACCCCAGCTGCTGTCCATCACAGGGAGCTGAGTCAGCATCCTGCCCCAAGTTAGATGTCAACTCAGACCAGACCATAATTCCTCAGAGCAGAGTCACCCTGAGCAAGGAGGCTCTCCCTTGGCATCTTTGGAACATTCCCGTCTAAAAGAGCCAGCGCTTTTGGCGTCCTCTCATCCTCTGACAGGCTCAGCTAGGTCCCAGGAAACTCCAGCTTCTGTGTCACTCTCATGCCCATCAGTCACTGTTTTGTGTCTCTCTGCCAAACCTCCTCACCCCTGTATGCCTCAGCCCATGCTGCCCGAGGCCTACCAAGGAGAAGTAGCAGGTGACTTCTAAGGTGAGCAACAGGTATGAAAGGTTTTAAAAAAAACACAGGCCAAAAGCTGGAAGGTTGCACAAGCCAAGAGCCTCCCAGGCTTGTCCTAGGAAGTTCCACATCCTTCTGTCCCACTGAAGAAGCCAACTGGTGCCCAGAGAATACTCCTTCTTGCAGACATCCATTATGGCTCCAGCCTTGGTCTTCAGATTGTCACATTCAAACATCCTTAGGCTGGAAGCTCAGACCTTTCAGGCACAAAGGTAGGTTTAAAGACTGATGGGCCATCTCCTCAGCGTCCACTCCTCTTGAGCAGGGCCTGGGAATCATCAGAAGCTAACCGTGGAGCTTGTATCTCAAAAAACTGGAGAAGCCGGTTTTGATTACTGAATAGCAAACTGCCACACATTTATTGGCTTAAAACAATAACCATTCATTCACTCACAGTCCTGCATGTGAGAAGTCTGGCTGGGCTTAACTGGCCTCTATGCTCAGAGCATCAAGAAAACAAAATCAAGATGTTGGCCACACTGCTCTTGTGTGGAGGCTCTGGGAAAGAATCCATTTCCAAGTTCATTCAGGTTGTTGGTAGAATTTAGTTCCATATGGTGGTGAGACTGTGGTCCCTAGTTCCTTGCTGGCTGATGGACAGGAGTCACCTCAGCTCCTGAAGATGGCACTCTGATCCTCACACTTAGCCCTTTGCCTTCAAAGCCAGGAGGGCTGTATGTTCTAGTACTTCAGAGCTCTCTGAGTTCCCCGCCTACTCTCAACCTGAGAGAGATCTCTGTTTTGAAAAGTTCCCATAATTAGATCAGGCCCCCTGACAACTTCCTTATCTTAAGTTCAACTGGGCCATATGTCATGACAATCACAGGAGTGGCAGGTCATATTCTCAGGGTCTGGAGACTCGAGGGGGACATCTTGGAGGGGGAGTATTTTTAAAATTCTGCGGACCTCAGGCCCATATCTAGATCCATCTACACAGGAGAGCTGGAGAGTGGCAGCTGAGTGTGTGGGCATGTGACTACCCGTGAATGTCCACACATGGGCCTCTCTTTCCTTCCCAAGGCTGTCTGAAGCCCCACATGTGTCACCATAACAAAAGAAGGACACATAAGAAGTCACCATAACAAAAGAAGGACACATAAGAAGTCACCATAATCTTTATCTAAATTATAGAACCATGGGGTCTCCTGGCTACAAAAGACCTTAAAGGCTCTGCACCCCAACCTCTCACTAAGGCAGCCTTTGCCTGGATGCCTCCAGTGACAAGGTTCCCCACATTTCTGCGTAAGACATCAGCATCATCATTCAATAAACATCTGCCAAGCACCCACTCTGGGCCAGGCCAGAGCCAGACACACAAACACACACAACATTGGTCAAAGCACAGTCTGTTGCCGCTGTTAGAAAGCACTTCCTCATGATGGGCCAACACTGTCCGTCTGCAGTGCCACCTGTCCACACCTCGGGCTAGCCCTTGGGGCACTAGGGTAAGCCAGTTCTCTTGACACAGCTGGCCCTCCCCCTCCTTCTTCCAACCACATGTACAAATACACTGCTGCCAAGGAGCTGGCAGGGGTGGGGCTGTGAGGACACCAGCTCTGGCCAAGCCTGAGGACCTAGGCTTAGTAGCAGCTTTGTCATCCCCTACACAGCTGGTCCTCCTGAGCCACAGGGACCTTCTTGTTGACCAGACCCCTAAGACAAGAAGACGATCTAGTCACATGTGAGTTATTAACAACATTTCATCTCCCAGCACCTGTCCAGTGCCCCCACCTGCTCCATGGCCCTCAGCTGCCCCTGCCACTCATGATGTCCCCATTCCTACCCTGTCCACTACCCAGCCCTCCTCAGAGCCTGGGAAGCAGGCACCCCCGAGCCTTCCAGAATACCTGGTTCTATGCTAAACTCTAGAACCATCAGCCCCCCCACCAACTTGTTCTTCATTCTAGAGAAATGCTGGTATCTTCCTGGAGGGGCTTCTAAAACCCACTGCCCCATGCATTCTGTCCAGGAATGGCCAGGCAGCCGGGGCGGGGGTGGGTAGGCTCTCAGAAGTGCACAGGGGTCGGGAGGCTGCACATGGACTCCACTTCTTTTCATAAATTACCACAGGTCAGTCCCTGGGGGAAAACAGGTAGATCAAATATAACCCCAGACCCCAGGGGCTATGTCACAGCAGAGATGGACATAGGCAATTGAGCAAATTATTAACAATGTGTAATGAGATGCCCAGGATATTTTGGGATCCCAAAGGAGATACCTAATCCTGACTGGGGGTGGGACCAGTGGAGCAGCAGGATGGAGGGAGAGGGGGACATTGCAGAATGGGAAGGCTTGTCTGAACCCCTCCCCCAGCACACTCAGACCATCCTGGCAGCCCCTCTGCCTCCAGATGGGCACCACTACTTAAGGTTGGAGGTAGGAGGGTTTTGTTAACAATGTGAATCTGGATGCCGCTGGGTAGGGAGGCATTCCCCACTTCCACAGGCTCACTGCTCCTGGTGCTTCTGAGGTCACTGCACTGAGCCATGTAGAATTGGGAGCCCTGGTCTAAGGAGGGGAACAGTGGAGAGCTGGCACCTGCTGTGTGATTGAGACCAGAGGTCCCAGCCTATCTGGAGAGAGAATGTGGATGCAGTTGACCATGGTGCAGGGTGCATGCTGTGCAGAGTGGAGAGGCCCCCCAGAGACCACTTAAACTCTGAGGGCACAGCCAGGTGACCAGCGTCACAGCCCGACCAGGTGGGTGTAACTTTGAGTCACCCACTCTGAAGCCCATCAGGCCTAAAGACTCATAATACCCGACTCTATCTCTCCCTTAGCTACTCTATCTTCTCTTCCCTCTCTACCCCAACAGCCTCCATTTGTCTCCCCACCATTACCCTGGTCTCCACTGCCCTTTCCCAACCCTTCCCAGCTACTGTTCCTCCCTAGACCCCAGAGGTCAAAGTGAAACACAATCCTTACAGCCTTTTATATTAAGAGTTTCAATCTCTATTCCTAATTTTTAAAGTGGATGAATAGGCTGTTTCAAATGAAGCTTCTTTGTCAATGGTTGTGAATTTTTTAAAAAAAGAGTTTACCCATCCCCGATTTAAGAAGTTTCATAATACTAAATGACTTAACAAAATGTTAGCTGTGCTATGCTTTCGTAACAAATAAGTTTTATCTATTTTACTCAAAATGTTCTCAGTACAATGGCAGATGCCTCTAATCCCAACTACTAAGGAGGCTGAGGCAGGAAGATTAGAAGTTTGAGGCCAGTCTAGACATCTTAGTGAGACCTGTCTCAAAAACAACAACAAAAAGAAAAAAAAAAAAAAACACATTTTTAGGGAAGTAGCTATTCTGGATAGCTAGATGTTTAGATTACAAAGTCATTCCTCTTTTATGTCCTAATTTTAAAAACAACAACAACAACAAAAAAACCTGATATAGCATTTTTAAAATGAAATACGTCAGTCCTGCATTCTTAACCAGAGTTTTCTGAACATAACTTAAAGTTCTCTCAATGACTCAGGGTCATCCCTGTATTATCTGGTCATGATCTTAGAGGTGTTTTGTCCCTACACTACTGTGCTTTGAATTCTCCTGTCTGCTTTTCGTAACTATTCTGTTTCCTCCCTCACTGTTGACTGTCAAGTAATAACAATAACAGAAGCAGGACCATGAGAGCAGCTCCCATCAGTGGGCTAAGGAGATTATGTGGATTCGTTCATTTAATTCTCACAAGGTAGGTCCTCTGATTACACTCACTTTGCAGATCAGAAAACAGACTCAGATAGTTAAGAGCCTTGACCAAGTCCACACAGTAGTGGACTTGATGGGCTGTCACTTGAATCCAGTTGATCTGACTCCCAAGACCCACTTAAAATCACCGTACTTGACTTCTGGGATCCTCCCTATTGCAATCTTCCCCTCTACTTCTAATTTGCTCTTAAATCTGTCATGGATAAAGAGCAAGATAACCACGCTTATCAAGACTCTGTGTGAAGTAAGGCTAGATGGGAGATGGGATGGGAAGATGCAGGGTGGGATTGGTAGGTAAAAGACACAGGTTTTCTTGGGGTGGTGATAAAAATGTTCCAAAATTGAACATGGCCATGGTCTCACAACTCTATTAATGTACAAAAAACCATCAAACTGCATAGTTTAAAAGGCTGGCTTATATGGTATATAAATTATATCTCAATAAAGCTGTAGAAGAAGAAATCAGAAAGCTGAAAGAGCCCTAATATGCACTTTGGTTGCTCAGAAACTTTTTATGCTGTCCCCAGTGTTGGCTAAGTTCCAATATGTACATTTGTAGAGTAGATGAACTCTGGCTAAAGCATTTGAGACTCAAAAAATAACTCTGGGCACCACCAGTGTTCTCTGGTTCTCACTTTGCCTCCACAGTTGATCTGCCCCTCCCTCTGGCCCTCACCAAGCCCTGAGTCCCAGCAGGGACCTACCTGGTCAGTATCATCTTCCTAAGTAGGCAGGGAGTCCTGCTGGTTCCTGATCTGGACTGGCCTGCAAAATATGCATCTCTCTCAGCAGCCTGGGTGGGTCTGCAAGCCTGCAAGGGCCGTGTCTGAACCCAGCCTGGACCCTACGGCTGGCCACCCCGGACAGGCTTCCGTTCCTCAGGTGCTCATTCATCTTTCTTGACCATAGCTCAAGTTCTTCTTTTTGTAAGAAGCTGGTTTACTATCATGATTCTTTCTTGTGACTTTATATTAGACTTAAAAAAATTGAACATGGCCATAGTCATGGGTGTTTTGTTTTACTTTGGCTAATTTCTAAATGCGAGAGAAAAAGGAAATTGTTGTAAAGAAAAACCTTCTCCAAGTACCAGAGATATTTAGAGGAACCAGGGAAAGGGAGGGTTTTTGTTATTTTGTTTTGTGGTTTTTTTTTGTGGTCCTGAGAATTGAACCCAGGGGCACTCTACCACTGAACTACATCCCCAACTCTTTTCTTTCTTTCTTTTTGAAGCAGGGTTTTGCTAAGTTCCCATACTGGCCTCAAATTTAAGATCCTCTTGCCTTGACTTCCCAAGTTGCTGGAATTACAGGCCTAAGGGGGGGCAGGATTTTCCAAATAGAAGTCCCATCTTACGTCACAGTTTGAAACATAAATCCCCAGACTGGGTATCGGGAGATCTGCTACTAGTTCCAGGCCTGTGGGCTCCTTGCAGGATGACTGCACATCACCAATCACATCTAGAATGTCAAGGAGGGGCCACAGATGGAGAGGCTGCTGGGGAAAAGGTGTCCTCTGTGAAAATGTTAAGATTGGAAAGCTGCATAAAGGCTCCTCCAGTGAGAAGTGAAGTTAAAAGACAAACTTGGGTATGCATGGCCCCAGGTGACACTGGGATGTCTGACCAGGCTGCCTTTAAGAAAAGAAGCCAGTGGGCATGGGCAGAGCTGAGACTATGTTCCCTTGTGTCACTCAGAAGCCAGCAGCTGCATCCTGAGGAGCAGCAGTGTCATTCCAGTGTCCACACACCAAGGAGCCAAAGACTCACCCTGCCTGCAAACAGGACAGTCTCCTGATGAAGGTATAGCATCTAGAGCTAAAAGACAAGGTTCCAGTCCCCACGCTCACTTAACTATCTGCAAGTTAATTCAACTTCCCTGAGCCTTACTCTTCTCATCTACAGTCAGAATACTAAGAATGTCCTCTCAGTAAGCTCCAGGTGGGGATGAAAAAATAAATGTAGACCACACCGCCCAGAACTTTGCCCAGGGTAAGAACTGATAGCAAGCTGCCACTGCTGCCCATCTCAGCAGCAGGAAGCTGGAGAGTTTACTGTCATTTACATGGCGTACTATGACCCAGGAATGTCCTAAGCCTTTTGCATGTTAACTTCCTCATTTCTCACAATACCACATGAAGGCAGCTACTGTCATCATCCATGCTTTATAGATGAGGAAGAAGCTGGGGCCCAGAGAAGTTTCCTAATCTGTCCAAGGTCACAAAACATGTGAATAAGTGGCAGAACACAGCAGTCTCTGTTGTGGTAGCGGTGGGGAGCATCTTGCCTCTGCTGAACGTGCACTGACCACCAATGTAGCTAAGGCCGTGGATCCTGGAGAGACAGTGGGAGCCAGAGACACTCCTCAAAGGGCTTACATTACATGGGGCAGACAGACACAAATAAGGAAGGGACAGAACAAATTTCTGAAGAGGGGTCTGCAGAGAAATTTCTGGAAATCACAGAGCACCATTTGGACTGAGAAAGCTTCCGTTTTGCCCTTATCTTGAGAATTGAAAAGAACAGTGGTCTCTTTTTGTAGATGTTGGGCCTCTGTAATAGAAAGTGGCCTCAGACACTTACTGTTCCTGGTAATAAAAAATGCCAGGACTTCTCCCCCTCTCATTATGAAGGGTCTAAAATGCTCAATTCATCACACACAGAGGACCCTGCAGGGCACTCAGTTCTTGCAGACAGCCCAGTGTTATGCCAGGGCAGCATGGACAAGGGTCTCTACTCTCATGCTTTTCTTCCTCCTTCTAGGGAGGAGCACGGCGCTAGCCAGGGACTGCCCACCTTGCTTCTTCCCTGAAGAGGGCAAGCACTGATCTCACAGAGGGCAAGGCTCTGTTCCTGCCTCTGTACCCGCAGTCACCTTGTTACTTCCAAAAACAGTCAAGGGAATTCTAAATTCTATACTACCAAGACAGGCAAGAACTTGCCTTTTAAAATGACGAGGTGCTTTGGGAAAGGTCTGATCCCTGACTGGGTCTCAGAGAGGGCTCAAATTTCCACGACACTAGCTGTTGAGATCTACAATGTGCTGGGCAGGTGGGGACCTGGCTACAGCCCTACTAGTTACTTCCTCAAGGCTTTTCTGTTGCTTTAATTTTGCTCTTCCAGGTGAGATGAGCCACGAAGGATGAGAACTTCCCATTGCACTTGCCTGAGATCCAAACTTCTTATCTGGGAGCACAAAGCCAGTCTGCCACCCTTCTAGCAGGAGGGTATGGCCTGTCTCTCAATAGGCCGCTAACTATGTGGTCCTCCTTGAAGATATACCTGGGGCCTCTGCCCTGGGTGACTCTACCTGTGAGGCAGCCACCTGACTCCACACCTAGCTAGATTCTTTGTATCCTTGAAGTGTCACCTCCTCAGAGTAACTCATCCTTACTACCCAGTCTAATAAAAGTCTCTCTCTCCTACCCTCCCTCTCTCCCTCCCTCTTCATCTCCTTCCTGGCTCTCATGTTGATCCTAGGCCTGTTTGTCCTCAGATCCATTCCTTCTCCTGTTTCCCAGGGGTGTCATCTGGCTTCTGGCCTAGGTCTGGCCAATGCAGCCACTGGGGGAACCTGGAAGTTTCAGGAAGAGTAGAGCTATGTATGGTACCTCCTGCCTCCACCTCTGCTTCGGGAGGCAGCTCTCGGGTCTCCTCCTTGGCTCCAGTTCCCTTTGGAAAGGCCAACCCAGTGCTAGCTTCCCCCGGTGACCCCACCCTAGGCTCCAGCCTAGATTGTCTCTCTAGGTTGTCTGGTGGTGGCCGCCCCTACGGCCTTTCATCTCCAGGCTGCCTCTCTCCCCCATTTGGCTCCTCCATTCTCTACTACCCATGTAACCAATTCCTTGCACCAAAATCCTATTTCCGATACTCAAATTATTTCTGTCTTTCTGGTTGGACCCTGACTGATACAGCATCTATCATAACTTGTAATTCTTTTATTAATTTGTTCAGTTAGTTATTATCTGGACCCACTGTAAGTTCTACAGGGTGGGGGCTGTATCTCTACTGTGCATCGCTACATCCGCAGTCCCAGTACAGCACCTGGCAATCAGGGAGCCACCTTGACAAATAATGCAAACAAGTGTCCAGTGATGAAAAGATATAAAAATTGGTGTTTCCCAAGAAATCCTCAAATTTCCAAAAAGAAAATGGAAATACCATTTGGAAGCAGAGTGTATTTCCACACACCACTTGTTATTAAAACATTAGCAAAGAAAGAGTGGTTTTTCATCTTTTCCACTCAACAGAGGCACCAAGACCACCTTCAATAAATAAGTGATATGTAAGTGGTCTTGATTAAGATATCAACACAGCCCAGGGACAAGCCAGCTCCCCAGGGTGCCATGCCTCAGGACATGAACGCCAAGTCCTGGACAAACCTTTTTGCGGTCTCCACAGACTTCTGCTCCGCCAGCTCCTTCTGTAGTTCCCTCTCCTTGGCTTCCTTCTGGCCAATGGGGCAGTCCTCAGGGACAGTGAAGAGGGACAGGGCATCTTTACTGTCCTCTTCTCGTAGCACTTTAGCAAACACCTTCTCAGCCAGGAGCCGGACTTGCTCGTCCACTTCAGAGATGTTCAGCTTGGGGAATTGTCGCGGCATCTCGGCTAGCAAAGAAAGAAGAAGAGCATGACTCTAATGTGTTACTGGATGTCCTGGGTCCCCACTGTGGGGGGCCAGAAGGCACTGAGGTGAGGCCTAGTTCCACCTGATCCTTGGGTCAGCTGTCAACCCAGGAATTCCCAGATCAAACCCAGCAGGCTACATTTCAAAATCAGTTCCATAAGTGATCAAGGGTGAAGCGGATGGAGCCACTCATGTTTCATGGGAAAGCAAACACTCAGACGTAAGAGAATGAACTATTCAACTAGGTGTTCCCATTTTCCTGACCTTGGGGAATCTGCAGCACATGGCAGGCCTGCCCTCCTGACTTTGCTTCCAAGACTAAGTAGGGGCGGGGGAGAATTCAGAACGTCCCTCCTCCAGTCTATGAAGTTATTAGGAATGCAGCACTAACCAAACTTTACTCCCCCTCTTCCAGGAAGGAAGTCCAAAACTCACGGGGTTTCACAATGAGCTTATAGCCCCACAAGATTACAGTAGAGCCCTGGTAAATCCAAAGCTGCCTTCTACAATTCATAAAATGAGAACATTGGCTGCTAAGAAAGAATCTGTTATCACAGTTTATGGTCCCTCAAAGCCTCAGAATTCTCTAATAAGACACAGCAAATAAAGTTAAGGTTTGAACAGGGATGCTTCACCCAACTGAAAACTCACTTCCTCAAAGAAACTTTTCCTATCCAACTCTGACACTGGAAGTTTTTCTCATCACCTGGATGCTTTCTTTTTCTTTTCTTTCTTTACTTTTTTACTTTTACAAACACTTATACAGCACTTAATAGGTACACTCTGCCAAGCATTTTATGTTTATTATCTCAGTTAATATTTTTTTCTATTTTACAGATGAGAAAATTAAGGCATAGAGTGACCTCTCTCAGGGTCACACCTGCAATAAGTTGGCAGAGGTCTGTGCTTTTCTCAAACTTTCTCTCTTCTGTCCTCGGATCTGAACCCAAGCCCCCAGTTGTCCATCTGTGTCCTTAACCACTATGCAGTGCTGCTACTCTGTGTTCCTTCAGGTGCAGGACAGGGACTCTTCATGCTCCCCAAATAGCACAACACCTTGCAATGGGCGAATTCTGCCAATTTTCAACAAGCCACCTTCTCCAGGAGCAACTCTGAAAGGGGAGTTTCCTGTCCACCTATTACCACTGTTTCTTTAAGGCTGGTTTAAAAAAGAAGTGATTTTGTTGACAGACAAGACAAAGGTGAGGCAGGAAGAGGAAGAAATTAATTCCAGGGGAGGGGGCTCAGTGGGCCATCTTAGGACAGTCATTCTCTGGCCTCATAATTTTCTTATCTGAGATTAAACGACAGGACTAAATGGTCTCAAAGGCCCTCTCAGTTCTAAGTGGTATAATTCCAGGTACCGGAGAGGTTTCCGGTGCCTGGGGAGGCTTACCGTGCTGGTCTTCTCTGTGGCGTTTGAGGCTAATTCATGACACAGACAGGAAGGAAGAAAGTAGGCTATAATGGGCAGTTAGAGCGGTGTCTGTGGGCCCCTTGACTCTGAAACCAATTTTCTCTTCCCTCCACACCCAGGGACATGACTTTCCCAGGCCTCCTTTTCCCTAAGGAAGTTGGGTAGGAGGGAGCTGGTGAGGAAGAGCCACCACAACACGCAAACCCAAGACAGCAGAGGTCTGGCCTCTTCAAAGAACAAGAGGAACAGAGTTGACTGTGGAGATTGCCATGTTCTAATTACAGAGTTAAGGGGAAGCTAGAGGTCATCAGAACAGAGGTTCAGAGAAGGCAATAGGTGGGGCGGGGGGTTGGTGCTGGAAAGCATAAAGAACCAGGCACAGGAAGCACATTCAGGCCAGAAAAAGCTATACCCCACCACCCCTCAACTCCAAGTCCATGAAGCAAATGCAACATTCCAAGTCCTCACATCACATTTCAGAAGTAGACAGGCCCAGGTAAAGGGCAGCAAATGTCACAAAGCGTCCACATTGTTTGACCGGTAATCCCACTTCTAGAAATTTCTCTAAGAATCTGAAGAAAGGAAAAAGTACAAAGTTCATTACTTGTACTCTTTATGTAAAGAACTTTAAAATGTCCAAATTAAAGCATACACACTTGAAAAAATTGTTAAGCTACCAGTATTATAATTATGAGGACAGTGAATCACATTCTAAAAAATCTTGTGAGATAATAGTAAATAAAAATATTAATGCCTGAAAATGTACCTGTGCTTTGATTATGATGGTATAAAAGTGAATCCCCTTATGGAAGGGGCTGCAAGGGAGAGACATGTTCAAAATGAGCAGATGACAGGATGGCCTATGTGTAAGGGCTGTCTTATTTTGATAATTAATGCTCTAATAATGTCACTTAAAAAAAAACACAGAAAGAAAATTGATTAGATTTAAGACCTTATTTTAAAAGCTGGGGGGACACAGTAAAAATAAACCATGATCTTATTCTAGCAAGTTTTGGCAATCAGGGACCTCTTCTGCCTACCCGACATGGAAAGAGGCCAGACCAAAGGGATTTGTACCATTGAGATTCATCTCTGCCTAAGCTCCTGCCCTGCATGGAAGCTGCCCACCACCAGCTTCCTGCCCACTCCACCCCCATAAATGCACACAGCCTGACTCAGCAGGTTGTCTCAGAAATGGGCAATTTGGGGGAGGGTCCTTTATGTCTAAGGGTTCTTAAACCAGAGTCTGCCATCTTTGTCCCTGAAGCATTTTCATTCAAACATACTTTTCAGGATGCATCTTTCTATAAAAGATCTCCTCCTTTTACTTTAGCTTAAATAGTTTAAATCAAACTGGGCCCCAAGAGAAGTTGATACCTGTTGCTAGAAAAACAGGACCTGCTATCAAATACCGGGGAGATGCTGTGTTCCATAGCCCCTCCACCCAGGTTCGTAAGGCATGTTAGACCTCAGGATCATGGAGTAGCACTTTCCCAAGGAAGTCTTTGTTTCACAGAGCTCATGGGAACCACGGCAGTGTCTTAAACAACTGGTCACTAGTGGGGACCCACGCACTACATCAGTGGACCTTGCAGCCTACCACATATGTGCTGTCTCCTAGACATTCCAGACAGACAACTCCACCTGCCAACCCTTCCTGACAGAACTCAAACACCCCTCAGACCTCTAGACACCTGCTAGGCCAGGCCTGCCAAGGAGAGACCACTCTGCAGATGCCAACTGGAGTTCAGCTCCAGCTGCCTGATAGTGTCTGGCCTTCAACCATTTGTCAGCTGAAGCCAGCAGTCGTGCGATACTTAACTGTGAATTTACCAGCATCGGTCAGCTAGTGATACAGCTTATCTCTTGTTGCATATGACACCCTCTGATGAGCATAAAGAAATGTCCCGAAGTTAGAAAGCTCTAAAAATGCCACCAGTTTCAACAAACAGTAAATATGCATAGCACTAGAGCCCCTCCAGAAAAGCAGCACAGTGACCCTGAAATCCCCTCCTTACACAAATGAAGCTGTTTCCTGCCTTTGCCAGATGCTCTCTGATAGAACCCATGACACAGACCTGAGCCGGGCGCTGGAGACTCCATGACTGATCCTGGGGATCACACAGGCAACGATGTCCTCCCGCCAGGTGCTAGTGCTGCCCTGGAGGCTGCGCTGAGTCAGTGTAAGAGCAGCTAGCTGG